TGACTGAATGAAAACATTGCGCTTATTAATAGGACAAACGAGCACTGCGATACGTTAGCTGGCGCGCGCCTAATATGCAAGTTTTGACATGTTCCAACGCAACTCGGCACGGGTTGTCCTGATTGTGGGTACATGAAACTTTGTTTACAATTGTTTTGTCGTTTTTCAGGCAAAATTAGAGGTTATGCGTTTGATAAAAAGAACTTTCATTTTTTGGGGACACCCTTCACCTCTCACGTCTGTGAGCGGAAAATGTCACATATCTTTATGATATTTATGCATTGTTTCCGCAAATGGGAGATACATCTAAGGTTAAATTAGAAAAAAATCTGCGTTCTTTAAGACGGATTTACTTACATGCCGTTGAGAAGCTTGTAAAATATTCATGGCTTACTGAGGTATTGTGGAAAAAGCTAAAATCTGGCCAAGTCGTTTTTATTTTTTTCTGACATTATATCAAGTTACCACTACGAAGCGTAGCACAAAGTAGACGTGTTTGTTTGAGCTTCCTTTTCATAGCAGAAAAAGTGGTAATATTTTAAGTAAGCTGGTTATTTTCCCTGTGTGGAAGTCACGACATTCATTGTGCTCAGCTCAGCGGATTCAATTAATTCTCCTCATTACAAAATGCTGAAGTATTGCAGTCCTATAAATGCCTGTGTAGAAAGCTCCTATGCTCTCCTAATACCGCGGAAGGATTAAATGCAAGCATACTGAGATTTACAAGGTGATGAATAGACACGCTGAGTCAAAGACAGGGCCGAACATGGACATCCTTATACTCAAAACAGATCAGGGTGAAAAACATCGGTGCTCAATGTGAGACAGACGAAAAAAGGTGAAATTGAGTTGATGGTTTCAGAAAAAAACGGAGATTTGAACCTTTGACGCAAGGAACTATTGCAATCATAGTACGTGACCTTGAAAAACCCGTCAAGCTCTTAAAGACTCTCTGCAGCAGCAAAATGTTGTAGGTCTACAAGTTTTTGAGCCAAGAGCACCTAAAAGTGGGAGGGGGCCTTGGACTGCCCCCATACCCAACTAGCACAGTAGTGCTATAAGCTTTTGGTAAAAGAACTGTTCAGCCATAAAAGCTGTTGCCTGAAGACCAAAATTCTGGCTTAATGTTGTGTGGAATGCAAATTTGCTTTCTGCAACATATTTGCACTAAAATGAGGTGTTTAAAATACTCTTATAGCATAGTTAGACAACACCTTATAGGACAAATTTTTAACTGCTGCATAAACGTTTATACAACTATTTTATACAGCATATTTGCCTGTTAGCCAAAATGGTTATGTTGTGGCATCCATGGTAACGTTTATAAAACAAACCCGAGCCTTGTTGTTTTGCTGTGCAAATTTACTACTTTAGCCAACAAATTGCTCCCAACGGAAGCACTTATGTTGTTTAGTAACTGTTAAAGGCTGTGCTCGGCATACATTTGTTGCTAAATATGTTGGTATACAACTTCACCATAACCTAACTTTCTGCTGTCATATTTTTGTTCAAATGCCATAACCAGTGTTTTAAGACAAACAACGCATGCATATTGGTTCAAAAGGTTTTATCAACTGTTCAAACAGAAGATATAGATCTGGTATAAATTCTGGGTAAATCATTCGACTCTGTCGGTATTTCATTTCAGATATTTATCAAATTGTTGTATAACACCTGCAGGCCACACCAAAATGTTCTAATAAACTAAAGACAAAATGGACGATGCCATGATTATACACAACCACCCGCCATATTGGCAAACATTTATTCCTCTATTTAATATTAAATAATTATGTTTCAGTTCGAAATTACAGACATAAAGTGAAAAACATTAGTGTAATTGTGTCTAAATATAGCATTTGTGGAAGATTTAACGCAGATAAGTTCAGTTTTCCATCTTAAAAATCTAGACATACTTTTGATCATTATTAAAATATGAATCAAATACGGAGCCCGTAGAAATTGCGTAACTACTTTGCACGGTAATCACAATAAAATTTGCTGCGCAAGTAATTCAATAGCCCTATATCACAGTGTAGAAGTTTATCATATACCTGTGTATGAAATTCACAATGGCCGATATGTTAGTAAAGAAGATTACTGTAATGTGTTAGCTATATATTCTTCACTTCATCTATACAATACATTAGAAATAGTTTGGTTGCAATAAAGTCAAAATCACGTAACAGAATAGTTGTATAGTTGACAAAAACTGAATCTTGCACTCACGCAAATGTTCTATAGCGGCTGCAAGAGGCTTACATTTTTGTTGTATAACTGATAGCTGCAGCCCTTACACAACCTCTTAAATGGCTGAAGTGTCCTCTTAGGTGTGCCCATTCCGCTTGTATAGCTGTTCTAAGAGGGTTTTGCCAATGTTCTTACAGTATACAATGCTGTTTAAGGAATACTGTATAATCATTCTTGCAACTCTAATAAGAGTGATAATTGTGAGTTGGGTAGTACTCCCTGAAGGCCGTGGAAGTATGCTGCTACAACAGCGAAGAATTAAAATTGGATGGGGCAGAACTGCCTCAAATGTGGAAACGACAAGCACGTAGCAAAAGACTGCACCAGGTGGAGGTAGTAAGACAGCTTCGTTTCACTACTAAACAAGCAACTGACACAGCTGTGACAAAACAGGAGACGCCTGTAGTAATTAAAAAAAAAACTGATGAGCCTGCTTTATCTCGATCTCAGGTTGATAACACTGAGGAAGAGGGATTTCAGGTTGTCAGAAGCAGAAAAGACAGGCAAACGGATAGAAGCAACACTCCCATAACACCAAAATAAGCATGAAGATAAAAAGATAATAGAAAGGGTTCCATGGAAATCAGATACAGATGGAGACGCAACTATTAGGATACACAGCCAGACGGCCGAAACATCTATTAAGGGAGTGCATACAAAAAAGGCGATGTTTTGGATAGAGATGGAAAAAATAGCGCAGTATTTATTTCTCCAAACATAAAATGAAGCAGTAGTACTTGGTGGGGGGGGGGGATTTCATTTCAGAGTCGATAACTTGGGGATTTCGGATAACTAACAGAGAGCTCCTTGAAGGAATTCTCGCAGCAAGGAGCCTTGTCATAGCAGACAATGGTGGAGAGCCAGCCTTTGTCAGACGAGGCCTAACATCCTATATCGACATTACTTTCCATAGTGAGAACCTGCTTACTATACTACACAGCTCCTCACAGGACCTCACGACCTTCATTGTGCTCAGCTAAAATATTCCGGATTCAAATAATCCTCCTCATTACAAAATACTGATGTATTGTAGTCCTATAAATGCCTGTGTAGAAAGCTCCTATGCTCCCGTATTATGGAAAACCGCTGTACGCTAAACCTCGGATGGATTATATGCAAGCATATTGAGATTTACATGGGGAGGCAGGTGATGACAAGATACGCTGAGTCAAAGACAGGGCCGAACATGGACATCCTTATACTCTAAACAGGTCAGAGTCAAAGACAAATAAAAAACAAAGAAAAAGATTCATCGGTGCTCAATGTGAGCCAGACGAAAAAAGGTGAAATTGAGTTGAAGGTTTCAGAAAAAAAGGGAGATTTGACCCTTTGACGCAAAGAACTATTGCAATCATAGAACGTAACCTTGAAAAAACCATATAAGAAAGAGATCCGTCAAGCTCTCGAAGACTCTCTGCAGCAGCAAAATGTTGTAGGTCTACAAGTGTTTGAGCCAAGAGCACCTTAAAGTGGGAAGGGGCCTTGGACTGTCTTGATAGTACTCCCTGAAGAGCTTGGAGGTTTGCTGCTACAACAGCGGGGAATTAAAATTTGATGGGGCAGAAGTACCTCAAATGTGGAGTCGACAAGCACATAGCAAAAGACTGCACCAGGCGGAGGTAGTAAAACAGCTTGGTTTCACTACTAAACAAGCAACTGACATAGCTGTGACAAAACAGGCGACGCCTGTAGTAATTAAAAAAAACTGATGAGCCTGTTTTATCTCGATCTCAGGTTGGTAACACTGAGGAAGAGGGATTTCAGGTTGTCAGAAACAGAAAAGACAGGCGAACGGATAGAAGCAACACTCCCACAACACCAAAATAAACATGAAGATAAAAAGATAATAGAAAGGGGTCCATGATCAGATACAGATGGAGACGCAACTATTAGGATACACAGCCAAACGGCTGAAACGTCTATTAAGGGGGTGCATACAAAAAAAGGCGATGCTTTGGATAGAAAAAATGGCGCTGTATATATTTCTCCAAACATAAAATGGACCACAATATAAAGCAGTACTTGGTGGGGGGGGGGGATTTCATTTCAAAGTCGATAACTTGGGGATTTCGGATAACTAACAGAGAGCTCCTTGAAGGAATTCTCGCAGCAAGGAGCCTTGTCATAGCAGACAATGGTGGCGAGCCAGCATTTGTCAGACGAGGCCAAACATCCTATATCGACATTACTTTCCATAGTGAGAACCTGAGCGGTCCGCATAGATTACTATACTGCACAGCTCCTCGCAGGACTTGGAGGTTTTGATAGCTACCTGAAAAGGGTAGGAAAGAGAGAGTACGCGAATTGCGTATATTGCAATGAAGAGGAGGACACTCCTAATCACCTACTCCATGTGGTAGGTGGGCTATAAAATAATAAAGTTGATGATGGTTTCTCAAAAATGAACCGTCGCGCACCAAATTTAAGAGTACCATCATGTGGTGCCTTAAAAGTGCCAATGGAAAAGTGTCATCAGTTTTTTGATATTCCTTAAAATAGAGTAAGAAAAAATATAAATGATTTGGTTAAAATTTAGTTTTTCCCAAATATCTCAGTAAGCCATAAAATTTTTACAAGTTTCTCAACGGCAAAGACCGCAACTTTTTTCTAATTTAACCTAAGCTGTATCTCCCACAGGTATTGAAATCCTCGTGCATAGGATCCTTATCTTGGTATAATGAAAAGCACAAAAAAGTTTTTGGATTTGACTATATTTTCCATTATTCTAAATTCTATTTTCTTTCTTTCAGATGTGCATAATGGATTTTTGAAACGGTCGAAAATTATGTAAGGACGTATGGATGTTCAATAGATCGCAGAGATATTCTCTAACCAGAGACTCCTCTTCCGTATAATCCAGGGTAAGTGATTCTTCAAGGCTCTCTTAAGCTGTACACCCACTGAGAAGCAGCGACGCAAAGAAAGCCGCGAATGGATTTGACATTGCAAACGTCAAACGTGACACTTGTTACAGTTTCTTTTTATAATCGACTAACATTTAACATTTTGGTTGCCTTACTTATAAGTTGTGCGAGGGCATGAAGTATTTTATCTTCGGCTCCTTATGTTTTTTTTACAGGTATCTTATTATTTTAATTTAGTTCAGGCTGATTTAAACATTTTGGTGTTGCTAGTGCAATCACGATTGTCCTTGCATACCGTGATTGAACAGCAGGTCTGTTTTAATTTTAAATTTTTAAATTGAGGGAATCCAGGACTAAACGGTTCCACTTTAAATTTAAATTTTTAATTAAATTAAAAGGGGTTATTAGTCAAATCGTTATTTCGGGTTATTTTTAATAAGTAATTATTTCTATTTAGGGTTCTACTTTCGGGTTCTGATTTACATCTGGGACTTCCTACCCTTGGTTACCTTTGCTTCGGAGCTTCCATTTGAGTATACTTTCCTTCGAGAGGCCCCATAGCCCCTTCTCTTGTGTGGGAATCAATCGCACCATTCTATAATAGTCAAGCACCTACCAAGGTGATTTTTTTAAATTTAATTTTTGCTGGAAACCATTTAGCTGGGGGTAGCACCAACTAATTTCCTTTTACTTGTCTCCCCAGGACTTCTTTTAATTTTCTTTTTTTTTGTTCAATAAATGTTTGCCTACCTTGTGAGTTTGTGTTTCCTTTAGCTCCAGAGACCCATCATTTGGCAGTCAGTTTGAGGCTTGATAGGCCGAAAAGCACTACCTGTTATTTCTTTTTCCTAGTTCTTGGGACTAGGTGGCCCCCAAATCTCAACCATAATGTATCAAAGACCAAAGTACAAGGAACCACACTATCTACCTATTGAACACAGGGTTAGTAATATTTTTTCCCAAATTATAACTTGAAATATAGACTTGATAGAACACAGTTTACGCGGGATAGCACACTTCGCTCCGCTGAGAATTGCTTGGGTGTAGAAGATCGTATTTTAGTTTGTGTAAACGAACCTGGCAAACAGTTTCGCTTCCCTTGTAGAAATGAAACTGGATCTACTGACAGAAACTGGCACTACTTACTTAATTTTTCACTAGAACACAAGAAAAAAACTTTAAACGGAACCATATAACAGCTCCAATTCAGCATGTGCTTCTCAAGTCATCGTTGGTTGTCAGAGCGGTCCGTGGGACCTTAGCTCTTGAGTCACAGTGTCAGTTTGTAAGTCTGACAGGTCTGGTAACCCAGAAACCAGACAATTTTAAGGAAAAAAGGGGAAGGAAAGGAGAGAAGAAAGAACGAGAGCAAAGGGGAAGAAGAGAATCTTTTAGGATAGGCAGCGTTTAGGCATTGTTAAAAACACTTCACAGATTTTGATATGGTCTAAAAATATTTGATTTTTTCTAAAGATTGTGTCAAAATGCTCCAATTTTGGTTGTTCTAAGTTCACGAGTTAATTTTGATTACAGTGCGAGCCGCGGCCCTTTGTGCTTGCGAACTTGCTCGACTGTGTTGTCCACTGACTCACGCAACAGAGGGTTGCTGTGCGATTCCGCTAGGCTATAGCGCCGCTGCGCCTGTTGCTTAATGTAGTCCTTTAGGTAAGGGACATTGAGGTCTCTATGTAGAGTTTCGTTAGGGACATACCATGGGGCATCAGCAATAGTGCGCAACGTCCTGCTTTGCAGAACCTGCAGATTTCGCATGTGTGTTTTAGCAATAAAACACTAAGCTGCACATGCGTAAGTCATTGCTGGTCTTATGACCACCTTATAGAGTCGAATTTTGTTAATCAAACTTAATTTTGAACGTTTACATAATAATGGGTAAAGCTGTCGAAACTTAATTTGGAATTTGGTTTTTTAGCGCTTCCATATGGTTCCACCAAGTCATCCCTTTGTCCAAAATGACACCGAGATACTTAGAGGAGGATTCCCATGGTATACGAAGGCCATTCATTGAAACTTCAGACGGAACGCCGCGACGTCTTTTTGTACAGTAGATTGCCTGCGTTTTCGAATGGTCTATTTTAATTAGCCACCGATCCGCCCAATCTAATACTTCCTCCACCGCACTTTGCAGCCTGTCATGGACTAGGTCACCAGACCACGACTGAGTCACCAATGCAGTATCGTCAGCACAGAGATAGACTTCACAGTTGCTGGGACTAGGGACGTCATGGATGTACAGTGAGTAAAGGATAGGTCCAAGGACCGAACCCTGAGGGACGCCGGCTGTAATCAGCCGTATTGTCGACAGGATATTGTCAATTTTGATCCGAAATTTCCTACCTTCAAGGAAGGATTTCAGTAGTTTTAGAAGCGAAAAAGGGAAGCCCTTTCGGATTAGTTTATACAAGACGCCCGCGTGTCACACCTTGTCAAATGCTTTTGAGACATCCAAAAGCAAGACGCCAGTACTTTCGTTAAGGGTGAATCCTCTGGCTACACGTTCCACCAGCGTAACCGCCTGTAGCTCCGTACATTCTCAAGGTGACGTAGAATCACCTTTTCACCGAGCTTAGACGGAGCTGACAGCAGGCTAATGGGACGATAATCCTGGGGAAATATCGACCCCACCTTCTTTGGAATCATTATAACTTCAGCGGTCTTCCACGCGGATGGGAAGTACTGGATCCTTAGCATGGCATTGACTATTGCCACGAGATAAGTTAAGGACGCGAAAATAGCTTCAGCGCCTTATTAGTGATTTGATCCTCCCCAGGTGCTGTACGCAGCTTAAGGTCTTTAATATGACCTTGAATCTCTGCTCGTGTGCAATGCGGTATCTCAGGAGACACCGCTGATGTGCTAAGCAGATCTTCGGTTGAAGTAGCTTCTGAAGAAGAATCTTCTGATGAAGAAAAATCACCAACGATAGCGCGACTGTCACTGACGCCGTTGGCCCTAAAATATCTCCTGACAGCTCTTACGGTGTGTTACTCCTCGTCGGGGTCATTATCAAGATCATAGTTGGGAGAACTATCTTTCCATGGCATCGGCGAAAACCTCAACCTTCTCCTCTGTCCTGAAGACAATGCCTCCAGGACCGTGAAAGTGAGGGATTTGTTCACGCTTTCCATTTTTGAGCGACTTCGCCACCTTCCAGAGAGGAATGCTTGAGTCAAGCATCCCCGCCAGAAAGTTGTTCCATTGCTCATTGCGGAATTCATGAAGAACATTACTTACTTCATGAACAAGATTCATCGCTCTGCGAATGTCCGATATTGTCTCAATATCGAGTGATCTATGGACGATTCGATAACCGCCAGAGAGTCTCACACAACCAGAAAAACTGAAAAACGTTATATCATTCTTAAAAGTATCTAGCTTCTATTGAAAGAGCTGACCTAAAAACTATTTGGAAACAAACCATTCTACTTTCTGTGTATCTTATTCTCAATTGACATTAAATAAGTCTTATGCAACGATGATTTTTTGCATCATGCTTACCTCAGCTAAAGTGTTGTCCTCTGAAACAAAAGGAAATATGTTGTAATAGAAGTTGTATAAATGGAATTACTTACATGAACGCCAACAAGATGGTGAAATGCGGCCATCGATGCTGCTGGAACAAAAAAAAAATCATACTATAATAATAATGATAATGATGATAATAATAACGATGACGATAACGATAACGATGACGATGACGATGACGATGACGATGACGATGACGATGACGATGACGATGACGATGACGATGACGATGACGATGACGATGACGATGATAATGATAATGATAATGATAATGATAATGATAATGATAATGATAATGATAATGATAATGATTAATGATAATGATAATGATAATGATAATGATAATGATAATGATAATGATTAATGATAATGATAATGATAATGATAATGATAATGATAATGATAATGATAATGATAATGATAATGATAATGATAATGATAATGATAATGATAATGATAATGATAATAATAACAATAGCGACACCGTAGTTTCACCTGTGGTTCTTAATGACCATTACGTAACATCAGGGGGCGCGTAAAGCTGGCAGACCTAAGGCATGTGGATGAGTTTCTTCATGAGCGTATCTCGGTGGACTCTGACACTTGGCGTATCAATTACGAAGTCTACGCTCCGGCTCTGAGGTTGTCTGGTCGGGGGAGAGTTAGAGACTCTCCTGTCGAGAGAGCACAGAGGCGCGTGCGCCAGGTGGAAGCAAAAATCCAGTTGGCTCGCAAGGAAGCATCACACACTCAATGAGGCGATACTTGCTGTTATCAAGCAACATTGCAACATTGCCTCGATAGGATACGGATGCTGATGGCTACTAAGATATCGTTGGTGGCGCATGCGAAGGGTTTGAAACAGAAAAAAATGTTTTCTGAATAACCCTCATGCCTTTTCCAACATCGACCGCCACCCATAGAGCAGCCGCCAGCTGCTGATCGCGTGGCGACCTTCTGGGCGGACGTTTATGAACGATCGAAGCCTTTCCAGGCAGGCACTTCTGCCTTGACTCAGTTTGAGTCCTTTAGTCAAAAGAGTTCCCTTGCATATATACTGCGTCAACCGATAGCCACGGAAGAAATTCGTAGTGCCTTGATAGGTGTTAAGAATTTAGCAGCTTCTGGCCCGGATGGCATACACACTTACTGGTGGAAGAAATTTCACAGATGGCACCGTCATTTGGCTGAAAGAGAGAAGATTTGTCGGATCCCAAGAATTACAGACCAATAACATGTCTTAACGTATTTATTATACAAGCTTTTCACTAGAGTTTTGTACATGGGGGGGGGTACAAGGGAGTCGCAGGCTGTAAGAATAACCTCTTGACTCATCGCTGAATCACACAGGACTCAGTGCAGTACAAGCGAAACCTGTCGATGG